ACTTATGAGAAAAATCAAAGTCTTCATGGTTTTAATTTTTGAAAAATATATCAATATTTTTCTGTATCAACGGATTTATATAAGAAGTATTTCAAGGATTTATTTAATTATATAATTATTTTGATATATTTTTTTATTTAATATCTTATCAATAAAATAATGAAGGAATTGTTGTCAGTTTTTGGTTTCAAAATTATTATCACATAAACACATTATTTGTATCCCACTTTCTCTTGTGGTACTTATAATTTACCCATTTATTAATAATGCAAAACACTTGAGTTTTTAAATGTATTGTTATTTTCCATAGAGATATAATGGAAAATTAATTTAAACCTTTTGAATCTTGATATACTCACATTTTTACATTTACATGAACTTATTTAACGATTTATTGTAAAGTTATATAAGAATACAGTTATACTGTATTTATTTAATAAATTCTCTAATCCTGATTTGTTGTGTAATTACTAATTAAAGTTAAAATCCTAAGTCCTAATCGTAAAAAGTAAAATTATAGATAAATATGATCCCAAAAACAATAGTTTAAAATATAATTATATTGTACATTGTAATGATGTGCAGGTGCAAATATAATATGGGAAAAGTAAATCAAAGCAAATAATAATATGTTTAGTTTTAGATATTTTTATTGTAACAATAATTTTATGTAAAGTATATAACTTAATTTTTCGTATGCTTTCAATTTCAATTATATTTTTAAATGCTGTTATTGCAATTTCTTTATAACATATTGAATAAATTTATTTTAATAGTAGCGTAAAATTGGATTTTAAGCTTATGATAAACATTGCAAACAATTTATCTGGTTTTACAAATTTGAATGAAATTATTTTAACAAAACTATTTTTATATTAGGATTTAATCAGACATAAATTAGAATATACCTAGCAATTTATAAAAGTAATCAAGTATTATGTAGTATTTATAATATATTTTTATAAATTTAAAACATTACAAAACATTACCGATAACAATATTTTGTAAATAATTAAAATAATAAGTAAAAATGATATTATAGAAAATATTTTATACCAAAGGATACATTTATAATTCAATCATTTCGCAAATAATTAGTTATAGAGATACTAATAAAGTATAATATAGTTATAAAACATAAGATAGTTTAATAAAGATCTTATTATCTGTTATGTAATATTTATATAATAATATTTTCTTCGCGACACTCTATGACTTCATTATAAGTAGGTTTACATCAAATGCCCCATAAATTGAATTCAGTTTTTACTTTAGTTATTAAATAAATGTAATACAAAAAGTAAACATTTATTTTATCACTAATAATGCCAACACTTGTTGTTATGATTTTACATTATTATATTTTTACACGAGAATATAATCTATACCCTGACCACACCATTTACTGGAGAAATAATTAATTTACATTTGCACTATAAAAGCGCATTTTCATTTTTCCGCCACTTATATTATAAGCAACGTTAATTAAATATCATGAATTATTTCAAGTAAACCAAAACCAAATTATTCTGAAATTAATTAACAAAAAACAATCTGTGAATTGTATTTAACTTAAGAAACCTTATGATGAAGTGTTGGTAATTTTATTTAAAGATGCACAATAATAATATTATACAGTATTGCTGTTATTAGACATGTCTTACGTAATAAACACATAATTTCATTAGAAATGTGGTTTTAATATATGAAAACAATATTATTTTTATCTTATATTGAAAACTAAATCATTAATGAATTCAATTGATAGGTATTAAAAGATTAAACCGAAATAAAATTGATTTTCACCCACTTTTCTAATGTAATGTTGTATTGCATACAAGAATCGGCGACAACAAGTGTTGGCATTATTAGTGATAAAATAAATGTTTACTTTTTGTATTACATTTATTTAATAACTAAAGTAAAAACTGAATTCAATTTATGGGGCATTTGATGTAAACCTACTTATAATGAAGGCATAGAGTGTCGCGAAGATAATATTATTATATAAATATTACATAACAGATAATAAGATCTTTATTAAACTATTTTATGTTTTATATCTATACAAAAAATTTTATATGTATTATACTTTATTAGTATCTTTCTAACTAATTATTTGCGAAATGATTGATTTATAAATGTATCCTTTGGTATAAAATATTAATATAATATCATTTTTACTTCTTATTTTAATTATTTACAAAATATTGTTATTGATTATGTTTTGTAATGTTTAAAATTTATAAAAATATATTATAAATACTAGATAATACTCGATTATTTTTATAAATTGCTAGGTATATTCTAATTTATGCCTGATTAAATCCTAATATAAAAATAATTCTGTTAAAATAATTTATAAATAAACCAGATAAATTGTTTACAATGTTTATCATAAGCTTAAAATCCAATTTTACGCTAATATTAAACTTTTATTCAATATCTTATAAATAAATTGCAATAACAAAGCATTTATAAATATAATTGAAATTGAAAACATACAAAAAATTAAGTTATATACTTTACATAAAATTATTGTCATAAGAAAAATACCTTAAACTAAATATATTAATATTTGCTTTGATTTACCTTTCCCATATTATAATTGCACCTACGCAAAAAAATAAATTGTATTAAAAACATTATTAAAATTTACAACATAATTATATTTTAAACTATTGTTTTTGGGACTTTAAACTTTTGTTATTGTATTCATCTATAATTTTACTTTCTATGATTAGGACTTAGGATTTTAGCTTTAATTAGTAATTACACAATTAATTAGGATTACAAATTTTATTAAATAAATACAGTATAACTGTATTCTTATATAACTTTACAATAAATCGTTGAATAAGTTCATGTAAATGTAGAAATGTGAATATATTATATCAAGATTAACGAGGTTTAAATTAATTTTCCATTATACAGTATCTCTATGGAAAATAACAATACATTTAAAAACTCAAGTGTTTTGCATTATTAATAAATGGGTGAATTATAAGTACCACAAGAGAAAGTGGGATAAAAATAATGTGTTTATGTGATAATAATTTTGAAACTTAAAACTGACAGCAATTCCTTCACTATTTTATTGATAAGATATTAAATAAAAAAAGATATCAAAATAATTATATAATTAAATAAATCCTTGAAATACTTCTTATATAAATCCGTTGATACAGAAAAATATTGATATATTTTTCAAAAATTAAAACCATGAAGACTTTGATTTTTCTCATAAGTCTATTCACATTTGGTAAATAACTTTCATATTTATTTTATTGCATTCATAATATTTAAAAATTATTATAAAATATTTTCTGTTTTATTAGTCTATTGTCGTCAGGAATGTGTGGCCCGAGACTACGGTCACGGATCAGTTGTCTGTGTGTGTAATCAAAAACAATGCGATGATTTGGATCCACTCCAGAAAACACCCAAAGGTGTGGTCACTGTCTTTGAGACGAGTAAAAGTGGTCTCAGATTTGACAAAAAGGAGCTCAAGTTTGGAGACAACTTAGGCTTTAAGGCTAACAAATCGCAGACAATAACTGTCGATAAAAGTAAAGGCGTTTATCAGAAGATCATAGGCTTTGGCGGTGCGTTCACAGACGCCGCCGGACTTAACATCAAATCACTTCCCGAAGACCTGCAAAAGCGAGTAATCAGTGATTATTACGGAAAGTCGGGAATTGAGTACAATTTGGGGCGAATACCGATCGGCGGCTCAGACTTTTCCACACATGCCTATAGTTATGACGATAACTATACCACTGATTATGACTTCAAACACTTTACTCTCGCTAAAGAGGATTTTGATTATAAGGTTTTTGTATAGAATTTTATATAAATTATAATCACTTTTAAAATGCAATAATAATTTGATTAAACATTTGCAGCTTTCTTATCTAAAAGCTGCAAAAGCCGTTAACCCAGATGTGAAATACTTCGGGAGCCCGTGGGCGCCCCCGGCGTGGCTTAAGACCAATGGGAAGCTTAACAATGGCGGCTATTTAAAGGGACAGCCCGGGGGTAAAGAGTATAAGGCGTTCGCCCATTACATCGTTAAGTAAATACAAAATCTACAACAATTATCTTAATTACCTTGATAATTAAAAACAATTTAAAACTGAATGAATTGATAGGTTTTTGGACAACTATAAGGCACAGGGGGTTCCCATGTGGGGCATAACTGTGGAGAATGAGCCCAAAGCCGGAAACGATCCCAACTATAAATTCAATTGTTTGGGTTTCACACCAGAACTTCAACGAGATTTCTTGAAACTAGATTTGGGACCAATTCTTGAGGCCTCCGGCTATGGACTGAACACAACAGAACTGATGATATTTGACGACCAGAGGTCTCAGATCTATAATTGGGCCAAAACTATACTCACCGACAAAGAGGCGGCAAAGTATGTGTCGGGAGTGGCCTTTCACTGGTACGAGAATACTGTGGACAATATCGTAAACCTGGATAAGGCTCACGGCGTCGACCCCTCAAAGTTTATACTAAACACCGAAGCGTGTGAGGAGTGGAGGGGACGCGACAAACATATATATCTCGGACATTGGGACACATTTGAGAGATACGCCAACGATATCATTGTTGTAAGTGCTGTATATTTCAAACACGATTATAAATGTGTTTTACTAATGGTAATTTTTTAATTAAAATGATAGGATTTAAATCACTGGACGGCCGGTTGGGTGGACTGGAATCTGGCGCTGGACGAAGAGGGCGGACCCAATTGGGTGAAGAACTTCGTGGACGCACCCATTATAGTGAACGCCACAAACAAAGAGTATTACAAACAGCCGTTTTTCTATGCTTTGGGACATTACAGCAAATTTTTGACTCCCGGTTCTCAACGCGTATATCAATCACACGATCAAAGTGTGGATAA